TTCAAGTCACTTGTTTGCCTTCTTGTGATAGCAAAGTTTAAAGAAAAACATGTCAAAAGTTAAATGAAACTAAAATAAAATATATAGAATGAAAAAAGTAAAAGCACCCCTGTCATCCTGCAGATACCTGGGCACACACAGGTATGTAAACATCAACTGCATCACACATATTTGGTTTTGCCATAAACGTGAGAGTAAGAGATATAACTCTAGGGTCATAATTCATAGTTAACTCTAACCTGATGACCTGTAAAGGCTTTTAAAGTAGCACCTATGGACAATTTTGGGTACCATAATTTTTCATAATTTCTCAGCCATGACCAATTTTGAGGCTTGACATCTTTGGTATCTATTTACTTGGCACAACCCCATAATTTATATTGGGTATTGGGTATATTGTTTTTGTATTCACTAATATTAATTTTAGCATATTTTTTCCTGAAATTATGAACTTGTTAAACAGATGTGCTAAAAGTACAACAGGAAAAATACAAATTGAAACTGCAATCATTTTATTCTACATAACCCAGCAATGGGCAAACTACGGCCCGCGGGCCGTATACGGCCCGGCGGACCTTTTAATCCGGCCCGCGGAGCTAGGCTCCTCTCACAGTCCGCTCTGAAGACCGATGCAGCATGAAAATCTGTCTCCTGTGAGGATCTGTCCCCCTCGACGTATCTGCGCATGTGCCGGAGATCGCCGATCGGCTGCTAATGCCTGAAACTGGCACATGCGCAGATACGTCGAGGGGGACAGATCCTCATAGGAGACAGATTTTCATGCTACACTAATATGGGGGATGCAACGGCGCGGGAATACAGCGAGAGGAACGCGCGGAGCAAAGGTAAGTGAATTGACACAGGGGGGACTTGGGGACTTAATATGGGAGATGAATTAATATGGGGGATGAATTACTATATGGGGGATGAATTACTATATGGGGGATGAATTACTATGGGGGATGAATTACTATATGGGGGATGAATTACTATGGGGGATGAATTACTATGGGGGATGAATTACTATGGGGATGAATTACTATATGGGGGGATGAATTACTATGGGGGATGAATTACTATGGGGGATGAATTACTATGGGGGATGAATTACTATATGGGGGATGAATTACTATGGGGGATGAATTACTATGGGGGATGAATTACTATATGGGGGATGAATTACTATGGGGGATGAATTACTATGGGGGATGAATTACTATGGGGGATGAATTACTATATGGGGGATGAATTACTATATGGGGGATGAATTACTATGGGGGATGAATTACTATATGGGGGATGAATTACTATGGGGGATGAATTACTATATGGGGGATGAATTACTATGGGGGATGAATTACTATGGGGGATGAATTACTATGGGGGATGAATTACTATATGGGGGATGAATTACTATATGGGGGATGAATTACTATGGGGGATGAATTACTATATGGGGGATGAATTACTATGGGGGATGAATTACTATGGGGGATGAATTACTATGGGGGAATTATGGGGGATGAATTACTATGGGGGATGAATTACTATGAGGGGATGAATTACTATGGGGGATGAATTACTATGGGGGATGAATTACTATGGGGGATGAATTACTATATAGGGGATGAATTACTATGGGGGATGAATTACTATGGGGGATGAATTACTATATGGGGGATGAATTACTATATGGGGGATGAATTACTATGGGGGATGAATTACTATATGGGGGATGAATTACTATATGGGGGATGAATTACTATGGGGGATGAATTATTATATGGGGGATGAATTACTATGGGGGACGAATTACTATATGGGGGACGAATTACTATATGGGGGATGAATTACTATGGGGGATGAATTACTATGGGGGATGAATTACTATAGGGGGGATGAATTACTATGCTTACTATGGGGGAATATTACTATACTTACTATGGATGACACATACACATCATTCATCTACTCTTGGCCCGGCCCCCGGGTCCAATATATGAACCCATTGCGGCCCTCAAGTCAAAACGTTTGCCCACCCCTGACATAACCTCTGCTTTCAGAAAACATAGAATTCTTTTGGGGTTCTAAGTAATTTTCTAGGAACAAAATGCTGATTTTAACAAGTGTAAAAAAATTTTTTTAAAAATTCCCCAGATGGTTATTTATTTTTAGATATCATGTTTTTATAGTTTTATAAGAGATATATACAAGGGAAAAGTAACAGGAGAACATATATTCTGTGTGCAATTGCAAGTTGTCATCAGGTGGTAATACGTGAACATTTACAATATGTTGTATATAACAGCATTTCTACATTTTAAAATCTGTTTTTTGTACTGTCATACTAGTTAATGAATGTTAACAATAAAATAATTTTAACTACAGGTGAAACTCGAAAAATTAGAATATCGTGCAAAAGATCATTTATTTCAGTAATTCAACTTAAAAGGTGAAACTAATATATGAGATAGACTCATTACATGCAAAGCAAGATAGTTCAAGCCGTGATTTGTCATAATTGTGATGATTATGGCTTACAGCTCATGAAAACCCCAAATCCACAATCTCAGAAAATGAGAATATTGTGAAAAGGTGCAATATTCTAGGCTCAAAGTGTCCCACTCTAATCAGCTAATTAAGCCATAACACCTGCAAAGGGTTCCTGAGCCTTTAAATGGTCTCTCAGTCTGGTTCAGTAGGAATCACAATCATGGGAAAGACTGCTGACCTGACAGTTGTGCAGAAAACCATCATTGACACCCTCCATAAGGAGGGAAAGCCTCAAAAGGTAATTGCAAAAGAAGTTGGATGTTCCCAAAGTGCTGTATCAAAGCACATTAATAGAAAGTTATGTGGAAGGGAAAAGTGTGGAAAAAAAAGGTGCACAAGCAGCAGGGATGACTGCAGCCTGGAGAGGAGTGTCAGGAAAAAGCATTCACAAGTGTTGGGGACTTCCCCTTTTGGGTGGAGCTCTGCTTTAAGTAAACTCAGACCCTTCTTGGCATACAGAGACAAAAGGGTGGTTCATGGAAAAGCATGTGGTGAACAAAAGGTAAATACACAAATACAGCAGGTGCCATATAATTGATAAAACAACAATTTCGGACAGCTTGATCAAGAGAGCAGGAGGTGTCCTGGGTGGGATGGGATTCCATAGGAAAAAGTATTAGACTTTTCCAGTGAATGCTCTTCTTATGTAACATTGCACAATGTTATTTTTTAGAAACCAGTGTTATGTGCTAGTGATATTATTACACCTTAGATACACCCTAATTTGTGCCTTGCCTGCTAAATGACAGTGCTCAGTCAGTATGTAATCAACTGCCTTGCCTAAACCCCTGTGGCTTACACATTGCAAATTAGATTATTGTTTTTGTTTTTTTACTTAAAGTAGGCCTGGATACACAATGGCTTAGCCAAGTAATACAATGGACATTGTATTGTTTTTCTTAAAAATACTGATCCTTTTTTTCCAGCATGTTTTGCACCTCATTGTTCTAAACCAATGGTTCTCAAGGGCCTGGTAAATTCTTCCAAAATCTTCCATGACCAAAACGGGCCATGTTTGAACATAGATCATGGCTGATCTGTTCCTAACCTCCATTCTAAACCTTCCCTAATCTATCCAAAATGAACAAAAAAAGATTTGGTTATAGATTTACTATAAATCTATAATTAATATCATAAGCTATAGGGTTGATCCATTAAAACTGAAGAAAAGATATATATCACACAGATGCAGTTGTATCCCACAATAACCAATCAAAGCCTTGTTTAATGTTCACATCAAAAATAAATGGTGACATTTGACTGGTTCCTATTAATTACAGTTCTGTGTATTTTCAATTCTCATTTTTTAATGCAATGTTACCGTAAGTCCCTGGACCAGACATTTTTTTCATAGTGATACTAACGTGCAAAATGGATACTAACGGATACTAACGTGCAATAAACAATTTTAAACTGGGTATCAATGAAAGAAGAGTAATCACAGGGGTAGTACTGAGTCTGGCAAACAGCATTAAATGTTTTTAGGACAAGGGAAGTGTGCAGCTCCAGAAATAAATAACAAGAGCCAGGACAATCTGAAAATGAATGCATACCCCAAACTGGCCACTCCCCCAGAGCCACACAGATTGCATGCTTCCCTGCCAACCTACCGTGTGCACTGCAGTTCATTCAAACCTGTATATAAGCTTGTGTATAGTTCCAGTAAAGATCTGTTTTGATCAGTAAGCTCCTCTCCCCCCTCCAGCTCCAGTCTGGTATCATGCCTGCAGTGTCGCAGGCTTGAGCTTATACTCTTGAGATCCTCTATGACACCAAGATCTTCACTGTCCTATATATCCACTGGCTGCCCGCAAGGCTTCACCTAGGCAGCTGCAGTTACTGCTCAGTACTAGTAGGAAAGCTGGAGTCTGGTGAGCATCATTATGCTAGGATTGTCAGACACAGCTGGCCAGAAGGACCTCCACATCTCCACTGCTACGCTCAGAGCCAGTGGGGGTGTAGGAGAGAACAATCTTGCCAAGCTGTGGCCTCCATCTGCTCCAACAACTAAAGTTTAGCTGACAGAACAGACAGGAAACCATGGCCCAGCAGGAGCAAGGCTGCAGCCCAATGGTTGAGAACCACTGGTCCAAACCATACTCCTGATAATGACATCTTTGGACCACGCTTGTGCAATAAGTGTTGGCCTGTCCGCTTGTAGTTTCCACCAAGGGTGTATGACCAGTGGTGTATTTTGGTTTTGTGCTGCCCTAGGCAAGACTAAAATCGCCCCCCCCCCATCTAAATTTGTCCCAACCTTTCATCTGCAAACTCCACCCCTTCCTCTTTAGGCTCCACCTCTCTCTCTATTAGAGCTCCACCCACTGACAATGATGGGGCGCTATTCCTCCCCTTGACATTAATGATGGGGCATGATTCCTCCCACTGATACCAATGATGGGGCACGATTCCTCCAACTGACACTAATGATGGGGCACTATTCATCCCACTGACACCAATGATGGGGCACTATTCCTCCCACTGATACCAATGATGGGGCACTATCCCTCCCCTGACACTAATGATGGGGCACGATTCTTCCCACTGACACCAATAATGGGGCACGATTCCTCCCACTGACACTAATGATGGGGCACTATTCATCCTACTGACACCAATGATGCGGCACTATTCATCCCACTGACACTAATGATGGGGCACTATTCCTCCACTGACACCAATGATGGGGCACTATTCCTCCCACTGACACTAATGATGGGGCACTATTCAACCCACTGACACCAATGATGGGGCACTATTCCTCATACTGACACCAATGATGGGGCACTATTCCTCCCACTGACACTAATGATGGTGCCCCATCATTAGTGTCAGTGGGATGAATAGTGCCCCATCATTGGTGTCAGTGGGAGCAATCGTGCCCCATCATTGGTGTCAGTGGGAGGAATCGTGCCCCATCATTGGTGTCAGTGGGAGGAATCGTGCCACATCATTGGTGTCAGGGGGGAGGAATAGTGCCCCATCATTGGTGTCAGTGGGAGGAATAGTGCCCCATCATTGGTATCAGTGGGAGGGAAATGCCCCATCATTAGTGTCAGTAGGAGGAATAGTGCCCCATCACTGGTGTCAGTGGGAGGAAATAGTGCCCCATCTTTGGTGTCAGTGGGAGGAATAGTGTCCCATCAGTGGTGTCAGTGGGAGGAATAGTGCCCCATCATTGGTGTCAGTGGGAGGAATAGTGCCCCATCATTGGTGTCAGTGGGAGGAATAGTGCCCCATCTTTGGTATCAGTGGGAGGAATAGTGCCCCATCATTGGTGTCAGTGGGAGGAATAGTGCCCCATCTTTGGTGTCAGTGGGAGGAATAGTGCCCCATCATTGTTGTTAGTGGGAGGCCCAGAGGCATAGTGCCCCATCATTGGTGTCAGTGGGAGGAATAGTGTCCCATCATTGGTGTCAGTGGGAGGAATAATGCCCCATCATTGGTGTCAGTGGGGAGAAAAGTGCCCCCTCATTGGTGTCAGTGACACCAATGAGGGGGCACTATTCCTCCCACACTGACACTAAGGGAGGGACAGGTAGGGGGCAGCATGACGGGGGCATGGGACAGGATTGGGTCAGCGGGACAGGAGAAGCGCAGTGGGACAGGAGAAGCGCAGAAGGATAGGTGAGGGGCAGTGGGACAGGAGGAGTGCAGAGGGACAGGTGGGGGGCAGCGTGACATGGGGCATGGGACAGGATCGGGGCAGCGGGACAGGAGGACCGCAAAGGGACAGGATCAGGGCAGCGGGACAGGAGGAGCGCAAAGGGACAGGATCGGGGCAGCGGGACAGGAGGAGTGCAAAGGGACAGGATAGAGGCAGCGGGACAGGAGGAGCGCAAAGGGACAGGTGAGGGGCAGTGGGACAGGAGAAGTACAGAGGGACAGGTGAGGGGCAATAGGACAGGAGAAGCGCAGAGGGACAGGTGAGGGGCAGTGGGACAGGAGGAGCACAGAGGGACAGGTAAGGGTAGTGGGACAGGAGGAGTGTAGAGGGACAGATGGGGGGCAGCGTGATGGGGGGGCATGGGACAGGTGAGGGGCAGCGGGATAGGAGTAGTGCACTGGGACAGGTGAGGGGCAGTGGGACAGGAGTAGCGCAGTGGGACAGGAGGAGCGCAGTGGGACAGGAGGAGCGCAGTGGGACAGGAGTAGTGCAGTGAGACAGGTGAGGGGCAGTGGGACAGGAGGAGCGCAGTGGGACAGGAGGAGCACAGTGGGACAGGAGGAGCGTGGTGGGATAGGTGAGGGGCAGTGGGACAGGAGTAGCGCAGTGGGACAGGTGAGGGGCAGTGGGACAGGAGGAGCGCAGTGGGACAGGATCGGGGCAGCTGGACAGGAGGAGCGCAGAGGGACAGGTGGGGGGCAGTGGGGACAGATGGGGGGTAGTGGGACAATGTGGGGGACAGGAGGGGGGAAGTGGAACAGGTGGGGGGCAGTGTATTGGGGGGACATTGAGGCAGGAGTGGAGAAGCACCAGTCCTCCTAGCACTTACCTGTCCAGCAGCGGCTCCTCCAGATGGTGTCAGCAGATGGTGTCAGCGGCGGCGGCTGCAAAAGAGCGGGCGGGCTCCTCCACCCTGACTCTCGTCCTCTTCTGCTTCCTCCTTTGCTGGCACCTTCCTGTACATCCCAGCACACTGACAGCGGGCCCCGCCAATCAAGCGCTCCGAGCGCTCACCGATGATCTGCCCACCACTCCATTCTAGGTGATCCTCCTTGCTGTACCCTCAGCCCTGCCCCTGACCCTTTCCCACGGAGGTGTCCCTTCCATGGGAAAGGCTCAGGGGCCCTTTCCCATGGAAGGGACACTAAAAAGTGCCGCCCTAGGCAAATGCCTTGTTTGCCTCGCGGCAAATACGCCCCTGTGTATGACACAGATGTGTCACAGTATAATTGAAAGTTCCTGAATGAAGACTTTCATGGCAGGATTTCCAGGTATTATTTTATTGAAATATGCAAAAATAAACAGATTAAAAATAACTTTTGAGCTTGCATTAGCATTTTGAAGCTTATATGAGATGTAGGCCCTATGTACACTGGGCATTTAGCTGCGGCACAGATGTCCAGTCCAACCCTGCTGCCAGCAGCCTGTCAAACTCTATGTGACGTTGACAGTTTTGTATCAACTATTTTTCACTTTGATACTGTAGTATCATGGACACCACAATAACAAACGTGTGCTGTATTAGAAGTATCTAGTTGTATCAAGTTGGAACAGAAAGTCTGTAGCAATGTAGACTTGATTCACAGACGGCTGTCAACAGAGAATCCTCTTTATGCAGGTGTTCTGATGTTCTGGGGAAGAACTTTCCTGGCAGTAGGTCCCTTTAGAATTATCAGGTAAGCATTTTTGCCAGTTTTGATAACATTACCGATACAGGGGTGAAAATTCAGATAGTTTTAACTACCACAGTTTTAAGAACCTGACTCTATGGCAGCAATGGATTTTTAAAGAATTACTGCCAGCTCGCAAATAAGGAACCTAGACAAAATTAAGACCATCTATGACCTGGAATATAGAAGTATGCAAGTAGTCTGAGTAAGGCTTGTTTATGCTGGGAAACTTTCATAAATCTGACAGCTTCCCGCACAGGACTCTACCCCTGTCCCCATTCAGCTGTTGGAAAGAAAATGTAGACACAGGGGATGAGGATACTGGTAAAGTTATTACCCATATAAGACAATGCACACATTTGTGAAAGGACTTGATTCACTGGGTGGAGCCTAATGGGGAACTGAGAGACTAGTTCCACCATACTTTCAATTGACAGCGCTTGGCAGTGGGCAGATTCAAAAGCTGCTATAGGACAGAATAGTGGATAAGGGTGTTATTCCCTCCCCCAACTACAAATTTCCTCAGCTATGCACAGGTGGACATAGTGGCCATGGAAGTACGGAGAGCACTGAAGAAAGAGTGTCTTACCTCCCTACCCTGCTTCCCCTCATAAGGAATCCATTTCAAAGATCCAAAGATTTGTGCAGTCACACTCTTCAGACACAATCCCAGTAACATACTGTATCTCTTCTGAGACTCCCTTTTTTGATCATGGACTGAAAGTCCTTCAGCTGGAACATTCTGCTTGCACGATCAAAGTACAAATAGTGCAGACCCAAGAGTGCAGAAACTTAAAGTTTAAAAAAAAATTCACATTTGGATTATTATTACAAGCATTATACCTATTTCCCAATACCAGCTACAGGGATTAGACAAAAAAATGGAAACACTACATGATTTGCAGGTGTAAAAGTGACAACATGTTTTGCGTTGAAAGCAGAAGCGATGTAGCACTCTTTTGCTTCCGCTGTGTGATGAGACAACTAGCTAACAGGTGTGAAGCATCACTTTCATTGTTCACTGTGTGCTCTGCTAGAAATACGGAGTTATGTCAGAGCTTACTGAGCTTCAAAGAGAGCTGATTGTTGGTGACAACTTATCTGGTGATTCTGTGACTGAAGTTGCCAATTTATTTGCCATGCCACAAGGTACATTATCAAAGGTTATGACGGCATATACAGTTTCTGTGAAAAAATCATCTTGTAAACATAAGCGAGGTCGACAGGATCAACTGACAAAAGGACATTGAGCAGGATTGTGACCAGGAATAAAAAACAACTGCTGCAAAAGTGACTGCAGAGCTCAATCTCAGTCTTCACAGGACTGAGCTTTACAGTAAGAGCTCGAGACACGGTAAATAAATTGCCCTGCTAATCATGCTAATGATGGAGATGTGAGGAAGCCCTGTTTATAGGATGTGATAGATGATTATATCCCTGTCATTGGAACAAATTTGTGATAATTGAATGGATTTTATAAATAAATTGGCACAACAGTAAGGGGTTGGTGTGCTGTCTTTTTTTATGATTTCAGTACTGTATGTGAGTATACAGTCAGGTCCATAAATATTGGGACATCGACACAATTCTAACATTTTTGGCTCTGTACACCACCACAATGGATTTGAAATGAAATGAACAAGATGTGCTTTAACTGAAGACTGTCAGCTTTAATTTGAGGGTATTTACATCCAAATCAGGTGAACAGTGTAGGAATTACAACAGTTTGCATATGTGCCTCCCACTTGTTAAGGGACCAAAAGTAATGGGACAATTGGCTTCTCAGCTGTTCCATGGCCAGGTGTGTGTTATTGCCTCATTATCCCAATTACAATGAGCAGATAAAAGGTCCAGAGTTCATTTCAAGTGTGCTATTTGTATTTGGAATCTGTTGCTGTCGACTCTCAAGATGAGATCCAAAGAGCTGTCACTATCAGTGAAGCAAGCCATTATTAGGCTGAAAAATCAAAACAAACCCATCAGAGAGATAGCAAAAACATTCGGCGTGGCCAAAACAACTGTTTGGAACATTCTTAAAAAGAAGGAACGCACCGGTGAGCTCAGCAACACCAAAGACCCGGAAGACCACGGAAAACAACTGTGGTGGATGACCGAAGAATTATTTCCCTGGGGAAGAAAACACCCTTCACAACAGTTGGCCAGATCAAGAACACTCTCCAGGAGGTAGGTGTATGTGTGTCAAAGTCAACAATCAAGAGAAGACTTCACCAGAGTGAATACAGAGGGTTCACCACAAAATGTAAACCATTGGTGAGCCTCAAAAACAGGAAGGCCAGATTAGAGTTTGCCAAACGACATCTAAAAAGTCTTCACAGTTCTGGAACAACATCCTATGGACAGATGAGACCAAGATCAACTTGTACCAGAGTGATGGGAAGAGAAGAGTATGGAGAAGGAAAGGAACTGCTCATGATCCTAAGCATACCACCTCATCAGTGAAGCATGGTGGTGGTAGTGTCATGGCAGTGGGCATGTATGGCTGCCAATGGAACTGGTTCTCTTGTATTTATTGATGATGTGACTGCTGACAAAAGCAGCAGGATGAATTCTGAAGTGTTTCGGGCAATATTATCTGCTCATATTCAGCCAAATGCTTCAGAACTCATTGGACGCCGCTTCACAGTGCAGATGGACAATGACCCAAAGCATACTGCAAAAGCAACCAAAGAGCTTTTTAAGGGAAAGTAGTGGAATGTTATGCAATGGCCAAGTCAATCACCTGACCTGAATCCGATTGAGCATGCATTTCACTTGCCGAAGACAAAACTGAAGGGAAAATGCCCCAAGAACAAGCCAGAACTGAAGACAATTGCAGTAGAGGCCTGGCAGAGCATCACCAGGGATGAAACCCAGCGTCTGGTGATGTCTATGCGTTCCAGACTTCAGGCTGTAATTGACTGCAAAGGATTTGCAGCCAAGTATTAAAAAGTGAAAGTTTGATTTATGATTATTATTCTGTCCCATTACTTTTGGTCCCTTAACAAGTGGGAGGTACATATGCAAACTGTTATAATTCCTACACTGTTCACCTGATTTGGATGTAAATACCCTCAAATTAAAGCTGACAGTCTGCAGTTAAAGCACATCTTGTTAGTTTTCATTTCAAATCTATTGTGGTGGTGTACAGAGCCAAAAATGTTAGAATTGTGTCGATGTCCCAATATTTATGGACCTGACTGTATGAAAGCTTTTAGTTTCTATACTCTTGGGCCTGCACTATTTGTACTTTGATTCTGCTTGCAGTAAGTTTCAGCTGGAGGACTTTCAGTCATTGACCAAAGAGGGAGCCTAAGAATAGATATGCTATGGGGATTGTGCCTACAATGACAGTGTGTGGATGCACAGATCTTTGATTCCACTGTAATAGCCTGCAGTCAGAGAGCAGTGGATCCTGTTTATTATCTAGCAGGTATTTCAATTAAAGTGGAATTCCATCTCGACCTAACTACTCTTAAAAATACACTCCCCCCCAACACCTATGCTAACAATCCTGTGTAAAAAAAAATATATTCTTACCTCTTTTCAGTTGGCTCCAGCCAAATCACATGACGTGTCAGCCAATGGCAGCTGCAGAAAGAGTGCTCAACAATGGCAGGAAATGTTTAGGAGCGATGACGTCATCCATAGCCTCCAGCCACATACAGCCACCTATACAAGTTAATGGCTGTATGCTGCCACACTTGTGTAAACACCAAACTCTTCTGCATCGACATTTTGGCATTTACCTGTGTCCATGTGCATGAATCCTAAAGAGGTTTTTCTGCTGACAGGGGTTTGTGAGTAAAACCTATATCTCCGCAGACTTTACTTTCTATTACAACTAGATAATTTATATACAGCGCATGTTTGGTATTGTGATGTCAAGATGACTGTGTTTGTGGAAAATAGTTGATATTGGACACAAACAGTTGGAGTTGAGGTGGTGAGCACAGCATGTTTTATATGTACTAAATCCAGTTATTATGTGATGCATAAGCCTCATAAAGTAACAAAAAAAACTGTTACCTGTGCTACTTGGGCCATAACCTCCTTCATTTGTGTCTCAAACACTACCCCTTCCAGACACTGCAGCTTACATGGGAGGGTTTTAGCAGCAGAGGCAGAGCTGTCAATGCAGAAAGTAGTGGACAAGACTAGGTGGGACCAGTTGCCGACTGACAAGCTACAGGTTGTGAATCAGCAGTTACAAAGGTGGATAGCCTCAACCCCAGCAATATCCTCGCTTGCCACAGTAGAGCAATGCCCTGTGTTATAAACACAGCAGGCATCATGACTGGAGACGGTCCCTTCGGACTAGTCTGTAGGGTAATAAAGGGGTTAAGTGATGGCAGAAGGGCAGGATGGTGAAGGGACGTGATTTGGATTGTGGTGGCAGATTATTGGTAGGAGGAAAAAAAAAAGAAGGGGACTCCTGCATCATGTTAAATCCCATGACATACTGGTCACTCAGTTGGTGCCCTTCCACGAAGAAAGAAGTCCCCACATCTCTCCTCCCCCCAAGTTTTTGTTCTTGGGTTTTGTTGTTATGGCTTTGCTTATGACCTTTATAAAAAATAAATCAATCAATAAATATATAAATAAATAATTGAAAAAAAAAAGGAAAAATGATACATACATAAATTAAAAAAGAAAGTGCGGTTTTTCTTACAGGACAATGAATAAATAAAATACAAAGTAATTAATTAAGAGACAACTTGTTATTATTGGTTCCAGTCATGTGTATTTGTTGTCATGTGGTATTTTTCGTCACAGCTGGCATTTATCCCTTTTGCTGGTTGAGGTGGCAGGTCGCTGGGTAGAGGCGGTGGAATTGGTAGCAGGAGGCCCAAGTAAGCCCCTGAGCCTAACTGAACGGCTGGGGTACGAATTGGCTGCTGATAAGGAAGAAAAGTGGAGATACGCCACTCAGCACTGCTAAAAGGGGATTTTGGTGTTTAGATGTGTTTTTTATTGGTTGATTGTTCATTATTCATAGATATCAAGCTGTGGCAGATACTTAAATAATAAAGTATCAACAAAGTTAAAAGTATCTTTGTTGTTAGTGCAGTTATTTTAGTCAATCTCAGGGAGAAGTGAACAGTGTACCAGTCATGCAAACGGGCAGAGCCTACATGAGTGCCAAATCTGCTCTGAATTCAGCAAGCTCATCACAGAAAGCTAATTAGGTGGCTGTCACTAGCAGGATCAACAAGTACAGTATATATGACACTTTGTAGGGCAGATAAGAGAAACTATACCGGAGACAAATGTTCTACTTTACAGTGTTATTAAACAGAAAAACTAAACATTCATTCAGGGGCGGACTGACAACTCATGGGCCCCCGGGCAATAGGGGATCATGGGGCCCCTGTGTCCTTGCCCACACTCAAATCACACCCAAAAAAAGACTATAAAAAGGTACCAGGGGCATTTCATGGGGCCCCCCACTGACCACGGGCCCTCAGGCAGTGCCCGAGTGCTCGAATGGACAGTCCGCCACTGCATTCATTATATTACAGCTTACCAGTTCTTTGATGTGAGGGCTGTATTAGATTTCTTTTTTCAGTTTTCTGTCTTCTATTTTCACCTAGTGGTCCAGCCAGTAAGTCTGTTGTTGTTTATCAACATGACAAGATTTTTTGCAGATGTATGAGTTAGTCACCGGTCACACCGCTGCACCACTTGCCTACAGGGTTCTTATACCCCCTTCCTGCTCAGGCCTATTTCCAGCTTTCAGCACTGTCACACTTTGAATGGCAATTGTGCGGTCATGCAACACTGTACCCATATGAAATTTTTGTAATTTTTTTGTGACAGATAGAGCTTTATTTTGGTGGTATTTAATCATCTCTGCATTTTTTATTTTTTCTTAAACAAACCAAAAACCACTGAAAAGTCTGAAAAAAAAAATGTTTTTTCTTAGTTTTTGTTATAAAATTTTGTAAATAAGTGATTTTTCTCCTTTACTGATGTGCACTAATGAGGCCGCAGTGATGGGCACTGATAGGCTGCACTGATGGACACTGATAGGTGGCACTGATGGGCACTGATGAGGAGGCACTGGTAGGTGGCACTGATGGGCATTGACAGGCATCACTGATATATGGCACTAATAGGCGGAAATGATAGGTGGCACTAATAGGCGGCACTGACTGGCACTGATAGGCGGCACTGACTGGCACTGTTAGGTGGCACTGGCTGGCACTGTTAGGCAGCACTGATAGGCAGCACTGATGGGCACTGATAGGTGGCACTGATGCACACTGATAGGCGTCATTGACTGGCACTGATTGGCACTGATAGGTGGCACTGATTGGCATTGATAGGTGGCACTGACTGGCACTGATGGGTGACACTGAAAGGCAGCTCAGTTGGGCACTGATATGTGGCATTGATGTGCACTGGTAGGCACTGATATGTGGCATTGATGTGGTACTGATGGGCACTGGCAGGTGGCATGGATGAGCACTGAGAGCTGGCACTGATGGACACTGACAGGTGGCACTGCTGGGGCTACACTGATCATCAGGGCACACTGATCATCAGTGCCCTGATGATCAGTGTACTTGTCCCCTCCGAGGAATGCTGATTACCGGCTCTCCTCTCCTCTCGAGCTGTCAGTGTGACAGCTTGTGGGGAGAGAAATGCTGATAACCAGCATTTCCCTGTTTACATTTGATCAGCTGTGATTGGACACAGCTGATCGCATGACCGAGCCGACATCTTCGGCTCTTTCCGTGGATCGGTGATCCGGACACAGCGCACCTCTGATCGCTGTGCTGCACACTCCTGGAGACGCACATGCGCGGTTTAGAATGGGAGAACGTGATGTCACGTCCTCCCAGAACGAGAGAACCACCTTGCGTCCGTCATTGGACTATATGGTGGTGGGCGGGAGGCGGTTAAAATCGTGCGATTTGTGTGCAATTTCAACAAATTGCACATGTTAAGACACTGACATTCACATTCATTAGATGCGATTTCAGGTGCAATTTCAATTCACAAATCGCACCTGAGATTGCACAGGTATGACCGGACACCTAATGAGATGAGACAAGCCATTTAACACTGGAAGGAGTGCTTACAATGATCAGCTTTTATTTAAGCAAAAACCTTTGTCCCAAAAGGAAAAAAAAACTGTTTGCTGTAACTGCTTATAAAGTAGTATTAGCTGGAGTTTGTGTTCATTTTACTAGTGTATTTAAATCTGCAATACATCTAACACTCCCTTCCCCCCAGGCTGACAATGTTGCTGTCTAAGTGTGCTCCCTGTGCTCCTTCATCCAGAGTAGTGTCTTACTAATACAGGAGGTGTGTTACTGGTCAGATCACAGGGAGAAAACAGGGAAAAAAGCATAAGAAAAGAAAACTAATGCAACCACCACATCTATTGATTGGTAAGCTGCAATATAACACATTTTTGGTTTTGGGTTTAATACCACTTTAAGTGTATATTTACATCTCTCAATCCTCTTCAGATACACTAGGCTTGAACAGCAACTCCTGTCGGCCCTGCTTTAGGCATAGCAGCACAGCAGCAGGTGAGCGGCGGCCGCAGTCTATGTTAGCCCTTACCTCCCGCCGTGCGGGCTGGTCATCCTCTTGTTAAGCCAGGTGGCCCCTGCCCACTGGCCCTATGGCCAGTCTGTGAACAGGCCCAATCAGTGTGCCAGTTGCCTGCAAAACCTGGTCCCAGGATTAGAGACTTCATGCCACACAAGTATCTACGAAATCTCCAGACTCCAGGTTACAAGTCGAGTTTTATCAACCAGTGGTGAAACTGATAAACCAGTTTCCTCCATGTGAGGTAAGCACCCCGGAGCCCCTCAACGTACCTAGAAGAGAAGCCTGGGTGATACAGAACCTGCTTTACACCATAGCAGGGCACAGCACTGTCACAGTATTTTCCAACTTACTAACAGCTGTTCCAAAAATGTTGACCATTGACAGTACAAAGTTCAAATTCGATTAACCTACCAGGATGCATTTGGATTATGGGAAGTAACTGGAAGAGATCCTACCATATATGGAAGGACAAGTAAAACTCAATGATAATAGTTCTTGTTGTTTGGAATCAATTAAAGGCAAGAGTGATACCCATGTAGCAGGCATGCTCCTTCACAATTCATAAGTACAGTGGGGCAAAAAAAGTATTTAGCAAGCCACCAATTGTGCAAGTTCTCCCACTTAAAAAGATGAGAGAGGCCTGTAATTGGCATCATAGGTAGACCTCAACTATGAGAGACAAAATGAGAAAAAAAATCCAGACAATCACATTGGCTGATTTGGAAAGAATGTATTTGCAAATTATGGTGGAAAATAAGTATTTGCTCACCTACAAACATGCAAGATTTCTGGCTCTCACAGACCTGTACCTTCTTCTTCAAGAGGCTCCTCTGTCCTGCACTCATTACCTGTATCAATGGCACCTGTTTGAACTTGTTATCAGTATAATGACACCTGTCCACAACCTCCAACAGTCACACTCCAAACTCCACTATGGTGAAGACCAAAGAGCTGTCGAAGGAAACCAGAAACAAAATTGTAGACCTGCACCAGGCTGGGAAGACTGAATCTGCAATAGGCAAGCAGCTTGGTGTGAACAAATCAACTGTGGGAGCAATGATTAGAAAATGGAAGACGTACAAGACCACTGATAATCTTCCCTCGATCTGGGGCTCCACGCAAGATCTCACCCCATGGGGTCAAAATGATCACAAGAACGGTTAGCAAAAATCCCAGGACCACACGGGGGGACCTAGTGAATGACCTGCAGAGAGCTGGGACCAACGTAACAAAGGCTACCATCAGTAACACACTACGCCGCCAGGGACTCAGATCCTGCAGTGCCAGACGGGTCCCCCTGCTTAAGCCAGTACATGTCTGGGCCCATCTGAAGTTTGCTAGAGAGCATTTGTATGATCCAGAAGAGGATTGGCAGAATGTCATATGGTCAGATGAAACCAAAATAGAACTGTTTGGTAGAAACACAACTCGTCGTGTTTGGAGGAGAGAGAATGCTGAGTTGCATTCAAAGAACACCATACCTACTGTGAAGCATGGGGGTGGCAACATCATGCTTTGGGGCTGTTTCTCTCCGCAAAAGGACCAGGATGACTGATCCATGTACAGGACAGAATGATTGGGACCACGAAACATGTATCGTGAGATTTTGAATGCAAACCTCCTTCCATCAGCAAGGGCATTGAAGATGAAACGTGGCGGGGTCTTCCAACATGACAATGATCCCAAACATACTGTCAGGGATCCCCTCGATCCCTGCCGCGATGGTCCCGGCGCAGGCGCACTGCTCCGCCCTGTACACGGGCACTAGGTCCGGGCCGGCCGCACCGTTCGAGTTTGCGCATGCGCAGTAGAAGCCGCGGCCGCCCGCTGGGCACCAATGGCAGCGCAGGGCGGGATATTTAAAGGTCCCTGAGCTGTCATTTCATTGCCTTCTGGTCTTACCTGCTTCCTGTGATTCTGTACCTGTGCCTTGTAAGTTTAATTGACCCGGATTGTTCTTGACCTGCTGATTTCTCCTGCCCAGACCCTTGCTTGCCTGACCTCTCCCTGGATGCCCCTCATTAGATCTGACCTCCTGTTGCTGACCTGGCGTGTGACCCGACGATTCTCTGCCTGCTCCCTTGTACCTTACCGTCCTCTACGGTTACCAACTCGGCCTGTCTGACTTCGCACTTGCTCAGCCATCCATCCCCCATCGGAGTCACACCGACCTCCTCACATCTGGCTCTCCCTGGTTGGAGCCCCTGGCGAACACCCCTACCACGACAGGTGTGCTCAGTAATGCAGGGGCCCTGGTGAACAAGTACCCCTTGGGGCTTAGACATCCGCGCTCTGGGCACGGCTGACCAGTGGAGTGCTAGAGGTGCCGCTCGGCCTCGTCCCTCACACATACTGCCCGGCAACGAAGGAGTGGCTTCGTAAGAAGCATTTCAAGGTCCTGGAGAGGCCTAGCCAGTCTCCAAATCTCAACCCATAGGAAAACCTTTGGAGGGAGTTTGAAAGTCCGTGTTGCCCAGCGGACAGCCTCAAAACATCACTGCAGGGGGAATCGGGCCAACATACCAGCAATCAGTGTGTGCCCAACCTTGTGAAGA